GCAATAAAATAAAATCTATTATAGATTATTATGATTAAAATTAATCTGAAAGAGATTAACTAATCCTGTCGCAAAAAATTCAACCTCTGTATCCTGATACAATATTGATTCAGCAGGTTTTATTACTGAAGACTAAAGTATTTGCATATTTTAGTCCTTGTTAATTTTTTTTATATATTTTATATTTATATTTCATATCAGACAACCTTAAAAAAATCTTATATTTCATGATGTTCTTTTGCTTATTTGCATATTTACGATGCTCCATGGTTCGACTAGAAAAAGCAGATTTTGTTTCGATCAAAACATTTTTGCATCTTTAATTATTATCTTTTATTCAAGCCTGAAATGTTAAACTGTGGAAACTCTGATTATCATCATATTATAGTGATATTCAGGTTAGGAAAACAAAAAGCTAATAGAAATATAAAGATTTACACAAAGATCAACATTTAGATGCAATAAAAGAGCAATAAATTGTTCTTTAAGGAAAAAAAATAGAAATAAAACATGATTAGTAAACGTTTGTACAAAAACTAAGAACAAAATCGTTAAATAATCGAATAAAAAAAAGTAGCAAATTTGTTTGAATATTTAAGATAAAAATACCAAACAATACTAATAGTACTACTATTTTATACAAGATCTCTGAGTAAAGATTACTATGGGAACAAATGAAATAGTTCAATAATAAATTCAACAATTATAGAAAAGAAGAAATATACTTAATCTGGATGGATGGAATCCATTAGTTAAATATTTCAGGTTCAAGTTTGTCTGCAGAAGGTTTCATTTCATTTCATTTTATTTTATGTTTGTCAGTCATGTCATCTGTATCTATTTGAACATTGTTTCATGAATAAAGCCAAAATAATACATGCCACTTTCTACGGAAGAGGATTAGAGCCACTTAAAAAAATTAATGAAAGTTAACTTATTTTTAAATATTATTTCAGTTTAATGTGGGAAAAAAGTCAGAATTCCGACTTTAACCTCAGAATTCTGCCAGCTAGCAAACATGTTAGCATCCAGCTGTAGCCATGTCAGTTTTAGAGACTAGCTCTCTGGTTTTAATCTCCTTCTGCTCTTCCATTAATCAAACAGCATCAGCAGGGACCCTCAGGAATGGAAAAAGTCTCATAATTCCAATGTGTTCCTGTTCCTCCCAAACAACTGAAGCTGAGTGCTCCACATCTCTGCATTGATGGAGCCCATCTACATTAAGATCCACAATTCTGAAATTAAAGTCAGAATTCTGAAATTAAAGTCGGAATTCTGAGATTAAAGTCGG